TATGAATCTCTTCTTGATGCAATTTCATACGAAATACAATTCTCCCCAATAATATATTCCGAATGATCTGAACCAGACTCGACTTCAAATTACAATTGGCTCGGATCTTATCGGCAAACCGATCTTGAGAAAAATCTTGATTGTATGTATGTGCGTGTGTATGCGTGTGGGATCCAAATGAACAAAGCGAGCATGGTTAATAGACATATGCTCAATTGGTCGCGAATTTCGCATTCATACGCTGATGGAGGAGACAAGGTGGCCTTTCACACAATCACACCTTCAACGAAGTTCCCATAGTCTGGCTATCCAAAGAGAAGTGTGATACCAACTGATGTCATTATGCGAAAAATATAAGTGTCAATCTTTTATCACCTTATACGGCCTAGACTGACCAGAACTCTCTGCAAACGCAACTCAATTTTTCACTTTCATACAAATGTTTTTCACATGACAAAGTGGACGACTTCATTTGGATTTCATGGGCATATTTCCCCTCAAATAGCGTCGCTTAACCACGTAAATGTCGGCTGATTTTTTCCAAACTAGGGTTAAGACAGCGGGCCTGTATATGATCGAAAATGTGAGTGAAGCCTGCTCAAAATAATCTGCTAAGATACCGTCTGTGAAGGACTGTCAAAAATGGTTGCGGAGGCTTCCATTTCGCATGAAAGTGCATGTTGAATAGACTCGAGAGTCGAGCTGATGGGAAAACGATAGATGACTCGCGTTATTCTACGCTCATTTTGCTTTAGTACTACGTTCATGTTGCCGCAGTCCACGAGACATGTGTCCTCTTTTCCGGTGAAAAGCGAGCGAATCTTCGTTCGTCAGAGCCAATTTTTAATGCGAAACACGTCAGCACGACTTAGGGACTGCGTCATCCTGAAGGTGGCATCCGAACCAAACGGCTGCAGTAGAACGAGAATCCGTCGTCATCTTCTGGTGGGATCGAGCTTTGCAATTATCGTCATCATTCTCTACAACAGTGCTATCTGCGGAGGGTCATCGAAACCCACTTCTTCTTTGTAGATACTGGCAACCTGACAAAATCGACAACTTGGAAATGTGATGTGCTTCGAGATTTCATTTCGATGCAACCATTTGTGGGCAAAGCTCCGCT